ACAGGGTGAAAAGTATGAAATCACATGGCTAACAACTGTAAATAATGTCATTTATTCAGAAAATATGTTTTTTTCTGACATTTGATGTCATCTAGGTAGGGTTTAGAACCAAGAAAAGATAATGAAAAAAGTTTCTTATAAGTTAGGTGAAAAAATAAATCTAATTTTTGGTAATTTTAGTTTCCAATTAAAAAACATAGTTTCATGAAGTGATGAAGGAAAGTAGGAGGTCGTGCAGGGACTCCAATCAACAGAAATCAGGATATTTTAGGTATTGGTAAGGTCCGTTACCTACATGCGAAAAATGACTTTTTATCAGAGGCGTAAAGCTGGGTCTAATTACTGATATATTTTTGATGGTCAGAAAAAATGGGACTAAAGGTGAAAACTCAATTTTTTGCCATAAAATGAAACAGCGGAACGCAACTCAAAATTCTGGATCCGTCCTCATGCTAATCCGTTCGACGATGAGATCAATGTTTTTCAGGCAGAGTTAAGAGGCATCAGTGTGCTAAAAAAAATCTCTTTTAGTTAGTGAGTTAGGTAGTCACAAAATATGTTTTCATCATTTTAGAATAGAATACTGTCGATTTTCAAATTATCGTCACGTTTCCAGCGGTACACATATTTAGACGCTAATTTTCGAACGATAAGTCTTTTGATTTTACAGTCAAGCTGTTCATGTGACAGCAGAGAAAGAAAGAATCTCCTATCAGCTCAACTCTCATCAACTTAAGCTTGCATATAACTTATTGTTGAATGCTTTCAGAAAAATCGAAAAGGATGGTACCTATTACGCAAGCATCATTCCATAAATTATAGGTCCTTGAAATTGATTTCATTTTTATGAGTCTATTCACGTGACAGATCTTTTTTTCTTACTTTTCCCTTTTTTTCTTCCCCATTGCGTGTAAAATTTGAGACTATGAGTAATATTTTATTGGGTACTTTCTCTCTAAATTAAGGGCTATTGTTTAAGATAATCACGTCCAGAGTTGAACTGCAAATTTTGCAGACACCATTGAATTAGGATATGAATATGATCTTTAGGCGGCCAAAAATACTTTTGAAAGTTTCGGAGAACTTCTTCACCTACTGTTGAGAGCCCTGTTGAAAACGTTGGACTATGCTTTGCTAATGACAAATCTTTTAGACACGATTGTCTGGGGATCCTAACCAGGTTTGTTTGGAAATATCACGTCAAAACCAACTTTGATGGATATTGTAAAATTGAATGACCGCACCTACTCTCTCAGTTTTATAATTACTTTTCAGTAGTCGAAAATTACAATAAAGATAATAACAAATGATAAAAATAACTAGGCATATATTGATATTTAGATTACAATAATGTGATACCTAGAAATAGTAATAATAACAATACCAAGTATTAAAAAAACAGCTAAGTAATAATAATGATGACACTGATGGCGAAAACGCAATTAATCTACAGCTAAAAAATAATTTTATGTTACAGATAAGGGTAAAGAAAGGAACAACTTTTCAGGGAAAAAGGTCAGAGTTTACATACTTGAATATACATGAAATAATAATTGGAGGAAATTATTAGTGATCAAAAAGTCACTTTACTCCAGTTAACCCCAATATCACTATTTCATGTGCGGGTAATGTCACGGAATTGAAAAAATATTTTCATTTTCGATCTCATTCATTTCACAACCGTGTCTTAATAATTTCAACTTTTAGAGGTATTCAGGGAGTCTCGTGCTGGAACTTGTCAATCTAATCACGCATGCTATAAAATACTAAAGAGCGGTCCCGAAATTTTTACTCATCACAACGTTGCCGTGCTGAGGAAAAACGCCGCATGAGACTTCAAACGTTGCCATATTTCCTTCGATTAAATACAGTTTACTGGAAAAATTCTAAATATTTTTCCTCCATTGTCTGAGGCAATTTCGTCCACAATTTAATCTAGGTAAAGCAATTGAAAATTTCAAGGAGAAATATGCATAACGTTTCTCAAAAATAAATATTTTATGAGGAAAAATGTGGCAACAGCGGAATGCTTATACAGTGTTCTTCCTCAGCACGCCAGAACACAGTCAGTTCAACATGCGCTCTCATTGATTAGAACCGATATGGATGAACGAAATTCAAGCTTTAGAACCGAGGTACTAAAACTCATGTCTTTTTCCAAAATTCCTCTTGAAAGGAATCAAGAAAACTTTGACTGTATGCACTCTAACCTTTTTTCCGTCAAATTTCACACTGAGGAGGAGAGGAAACTGAGTCATCTACCGACGCACAAAGCTGAAATTGTAAGAATTACGAACTTTCACGAATGTTACTCTTTGATCACAGGCGGATCCAACAGGTTGACAAAACTGGCTTTTCTCCACTAAACCCCTCTAAGAATCGATGTATTTCCATTGATTTAAACAGAGAGAAAACAATGTTGCTAACTTGCTGGATCCAGTCTTCGCTCGTGACTGCAGTGATAGATGCAATATCAAACATGCTGACCATCACCAGAATTCGAGTTTTATTTGGACATTAATTTCACAGGCTGAAGACCAAATACTCACACTATTTCGAATTGGAAATGGTGAAAAGATTTTTAAAATGATGAATTTTGTCTGTTCTTCCAAAAATGCAGCAACAAAAGTAAGTAAATCCATTTTAGGAGCTATTCCAAGAGGTGAATCCTTTCATTCGTTGATTTTCTTTCAATAGATTTTCTTCATAAATTAATCTCTCAATTCTAAGCTTCAATAAGCTTTAAAAAAGTTTTTTTTTTTTTTTTTTTCTTACATCGGAGAGATAATGAAACAAGAATGAATGCAGTAACCCCCTCCCACTCAGTAAAAAAATTGCCTACATTTGACTAACACCCTCGTCATTTCGACAAACGACCGCATAAATAGCGATACAAGATACAGGGAAATTGTGACCAATTATTTAGGGTTCTACCTGAATGTTTGCTTAACTCGACCTTCAGCGTGTGATTTCTATAAATGGCTTAACTCAGAGAACAGGTACAAAACCTTTATTTGCGGATCATAAACTTTTTTAAAATCGTATCTTACTTAATGACGTCATCAAATGACGCCGATAATTACCACCAAAACTTGATTGGCCACCACCTTGTTCTTTTGCTTTGTCCAACCAACAAATAACACAATTCGTCGATTGTGTTTTTCCTCTGGTTAAGTTGCTCATCAAAATACGATTCTATGATCGGAACAACACTTGTTGATTCGGCGTATTTATGGTAAGAGGAACTATATGCAAATAAATTAAATAAAAAGGAACCATTTAAATTACACTTACGCACACTGAGAAAAAAAATATGGTTAGAATTACCATTTTATTGATGTCCCATATGACTTTATGTAGCCGTAACCAATAATACTGGTATTTTTACTGTTAAAGATAATGTACTTACGCAGTGGTATAATTTCCAATGCGGTAGTAAAATTACTACTATTATTGCTTATGACTACTGTTAATTGAACTGCGTTAAATAGAAAAGAACCAAGCCACATCAACTATCGCCAAAGAGCCGTATGCAAAAACGACATTTTTTGCCCCCCCACTAAAACTTATTCAAACTTCGTCTATCAGTTACTAATACTGGAGCGCTTCTTTCCCCAAATTTTCAGACCCCCAAAAAATTTTGGGGGGGCGCTAGGGGGGGTGGAAGTCAAAACCTGCGACCCTCGATATCTTTCGAACGAAACAAGATATTGAGGCCTGGTTTGGACGAAAAATCGTCTAAAATTGCATACTTTAAGATTCTAAAGGTCAAAATCCCAAACTTAAATTTTTAACTTAACTTATGTGCTTTTTTCAGTTTTTGAGGAAAAACAATTTCTTTTAAACAGATTAAACTGAAATTTCACATTTTTTGATTTGAACCAAAACCAGTTTTTTAAATTGTTCGTCTTTTTCCGCATCCAACGAGTGGTCGTATAAGCTGGGGAACCGAACGGTTCCGGAGTTATGATCGATTGAAGTTTCCGCTCAACGCGCGCCGACCGATTTTTGCGCGCAAAAAAGTCGGATTTGACTGTTATCAAATCAGATTTAATGTTCATACTAAGCAAAATGCATTATTAGGGACTCTTGAGGGTCGCTGAGTCCAGAAATTACAGATACTTCCAAAAAATTCACGTTTTTAAAATTACAGCTCCGTAGCGCTATTTTAGAGGCCCACTGAGCGCCGACCGGCCGCTCAGTGGTCCTGTACGAAGCTGTAATTTTAAAAACGTGAATTTTTTGGAAGTATCTGTAATTTCTGGACTCAGCGACCCTCAAGAGTCCCTAATAATGCATTTTGCTCAGTTTGAACATTAAATCTGATTTGATAACAGTCAAATCCGACTTTTTTGCGCGCAAAAATCGGTCGGCGCGCGTTGAGCGGAAACTTCAATCGATCATAACTCCGGAACCGTTCGGTTCCCCAGCTTATACGACCACTCGTTGGATGCGGAAAAAGACGAACAATTTAAAAAACTGGTTTTGGTTCAAATCAAAAAATGTGAAATTTCAGTTTAATCTGTTTAAAAGAAATTGTTTTTCCTCAAAAACTGAAAAAAGCACATAAGTTAAGTTAAAAATTTAAGTTTGGGATTTTGACCTTTAGAATCTTAAAGTATGCAATTTTAGACGATTTTTCGTCCAAACCAGGCCTCAATATCTTGTTTCGTTCGAAAGATATCGAGGGTCGCAGGTTTTGACTTCCACCCCCCCTAGCGCCCCCCCCCCAAAATTTTTTGGGGGTCTGAAAATTTGGGGAAAGAAGCGCTCCAGTATTAGTAACTGATGGACGAAGTTTGAATAAGTTTTAGTGGGGGGGCGAAAAATGTCGTTTTTGCATACGGCTCTTTAACAGGGACATTTTATTTTTTACGAGAGAACGTTAGTGCGGATTTCTTTAAAAATTTTCAGGAATTTGCTTCGCACTGTGGAGAAAATCCACTGAAATTTGCACCAAAAAACCGCACAACCGTTTTCATGTACAAAATTAAATTGCCCAATTAAATTTGGCAATAGCTGATGTGGCTTGGAACCTTTCTGTTTAACGCGGTCCAATTAGGAGTTCACGTGAAACATTACCAGTGTAGTAGTTCTAAGTATATTTTTTTTCTCAGTATACGTGAAAGTTCATTCGCATTAACTCATTCTCACACTGTTCCTTTCAGCATAAATGCGTCTCGTTCAGAGGTGTTCTCGGAGTTTGGCAAGATGCGCCGCAATCACACTAATTTATGCAAAGCACTCGTGTAAATTTCCCACTTAGCATCCATTGGAGCCAAAATAGCTGAGTATCACAATATTTGCCACTCCCAGAATCCGCACCTTTCCAGCGTCCTGGAAAGTGGTTCCGGGAGATTTTCTTCGATGAATATCAAATCTACTACCGGAGGACAGTCATGTTCTTCCGGGTTAGTTGGGGTTGTTTTTAGGCGAGGAGAAACGGGATTCCATTCCCATTCACATGCGCCAAAGTAAAAGATGGTTGGTCGAGTCCTCCCGGCCGGCTACCTCCGCGATGTTCGTCGATCGGAAATCCTCGTAGCCATCGCCTCCGGAGATGACGAGGATCTCGTTCGAGCTTTTGTCCTCCTTGGGGCGTCCGTCGCCCTCTTTGGGCGCCTTCTCGACCATCGTCAGGAATCTCACGTGGCCTGTGTGTCCGTGGGGCGCCCCTGAAATTTGAACATGGTCTAATTTTAGTGCATGGGCATTGGACATCGCTAGTTGGACGGTGTCTCTCGAAAGGCATGGAGAAAAAAAAGGAGGAATTTGCATCTTGCACTGGAAAAAACCACATTGGATCTAGAGTCCAGACTCTTGAAAACATTGACAAGAAAAAATACTCTTGATTCAATCAGATTTAAGCTTAAATCAAAAGGGAATCCGCTCAAATTAAGAGGCTTGGTTCTCGCCAACATTATGGTTGTCGCCAACATTATTTAAAATTTACCTCGAATGTGTGCTAAAGAAATGGAAAAGGAAGTGTTCTGGTATGGGTGTCCCCTTGGGTGATCTTGAAACTCTGTTCACTCTGTGCTTTGCTGATGACCAGGTGGTGGTTGCTCAAGATCAAGAAGACGCGGAGTACATGATGCGCAAGTTAGTAGAAGAATATCGGAAGTGGGGTTTGGAAGTCAGCATATCCAAATCTGAGAAGATGACTTTTGGTGGTGATCAGCAAAGCATTGAGTTGGAGGATGGGCAGCAGATCAAATGCTGCGAGCACTTCAAGTACTTGGGAGTGCGGTTGACCCAGGATGGAAGGACGGATCAAGTTATCAGGGAAAGGAACACCTTAGCAAGGAAGGCTATAGCGATGTTAAATGGAATCCTCTGGGATCAGCGGATTTCCAAAGATAACAAGAGGAGGATATACAACGCTGTAGTAAAAAGTATATTAACATACGGATGTGAAGTTTGGCAGCTGAAGAAACGGACACAGGATATGCTAAGAGCAACGGAGATGGATTTCTGGAGAAGGTCGGCAGGAATTTCTAGGAGAGATCGGGTCCGTAATGATAGAGTGCGTCAGATAATGGAAGTCGAAAATGACATCGTGTTCGACGTCATGACCAAACAACTTGTTTGGTATGGTCATGTCAATAGGATGACGGAAGAGAGGCTGCCAAAAAAGATGCTTGATTGGGTTCCTCCTGGGAGGAGGCGTAGGGGACGCCCAGTGAGAGGTTGGCGACAGGGGGTGTTAAGTGAGATGAGGGAGTGTCAACTCCCTGATAACCTGTGGGAAGACCGAGCTTTGTGGCGATTAGGTGTCGCAAAGCGCCAAGGAGCGCTATAACAGCGACTCGTATGTATGGTTCTTGATTTAAGCAAAAATCCGATTGAATTAAGAGTATTCTTTCTTGTCGATGTTTTTAAGAGTCTGGACTCTAGATCCAATGTGTTTTTTTTCCCAGTGTGAGGATTGTTTACCCCGTGACGTAGGTCGGTACAACCTGGCCAGCAAAATCCGGTATTCAAAGTATGATAAACGAACCATATTGTCCGATTTTTTTATTATTAAATCAACTCATGATATAATTTCAAACACTTTATATAGAATGACTATTTTCCATAAGCTACATCATTTCCAAGAAAATCGATGATAAAACTCATCCGTAACGACCTACGTCATCAAAAAAAAATCCAAGATACCCGAGATGCGAACACCTCCCTTTTTTCTCTATGCTCGAAAGGGAATGTAGTGACAGTTTTGCCAAGTTTTCTTGGGCGATTTATTTATTTGTTTATTCATTTTTACATATCCATGGGCCTGTTGCAAACTTTAGCTGGAGCAAAAAGAAGAGTTGTTTGTTCTCTTTATTTTGCTCTGCCTAAAGGTAGCAATAGGCCCTTAATGCGGTTGTTTTCAATTCGCCTTCAACTGCGTATGTAGCAATTGTTGTTACGAATACGTTGTGCGTGCTGATTTCAGCTAATTACATACATGACTTTCTGAAGGCGTTTTATGTGCGCAAGTAGCGCACCCTATTGGAAAATAACAGAAGTATAGATTGAATGAATCACTCAATCTTTGCTTCGTTTGTTCTCCAAAAGAGTGCGCCTTTCGCGCACATGAAACGCCTTAAATGAGTCAAGTATGTAATATGCTATAATCAGCACGCCCAACATATTCGTAACAACAATTGCTGCAAACGCAATTGAAGGCGAATCTGTAACAACGGAATAATTCATGTTGAGAAAAATTTTTGCGCATTTTTGTTACGCAGATTGTGAAGTTTGGAGTATACTCCAGACTTTTCCATAGGAAATTATTATTCATTTTGTTCTAGCTGAAGTTTGCAACAACAAGCCCATTAGAAAAAAAATTGAGAAATTTGGATTTATCATGCCCAACCTTAGCGCAGCGGTATGCATGCAAGGTACAAGTTTAGTAAAAATAATAATAGAGAAATAGATTACCAGACGCAACAGGTACTGAATTGAGCCTCGTTGTCGATTGCGTGATGGTAGGTAGTGGCATCGTAAGTAGAACTCCGGCACTTGTCCCAATCCAAAGTAATTCTTTGTGAGCAAGAAGCGAAGTAACACGCAAACAAGCTGCCTTGTGCTGTCGAATTATATCATCGCAACCTGAGCACAGAGGCACAAATTCAGATGTGAGATAATTTACCAGTATTCTTTTCGAAGATAAAAAGCCAAAATCAAACAAAAACATTGCTTTAATCGTCCACTCTCTTTAAGCCACCGAGGCTTAACTCTCGGGGGATTAGACTTTTCGACCAAGATCTTATGATATGAGAGCATGCTAGGTTCCGAATGTTTTTTAGTTAGCTTGATGTAGCTAACTGTGATCGAAATGTATAAATAACTAATCATCATCATCATCATCATTATCATTATCATCATTATCATCATCATCGTCATCAATATCATTATCATCATCATCATCATTATCATCATCATCATCATCAGACAAATAACAACATTCTCGCTTTGAAAGGTACACTGTAAAGCCAGGTAACGTACTATTTTAGATTTTTACCATTTTCCTTTTTACTATTTTATCCAGCTGAGGAAGGCTGAGTTTTCAGCCGGAACTTTTTGGTTTTACTCCTGAAATTCTAGCCTTGTTACCCGCTTTTTAAATTGTTTTTTATTGTATATCTTGTCACGGGCTGTGGAGCGTCATTCATATATCATCATCAGACCAAAGTGATCTAACTGTATGCAACATTTTATAATTTCCTCTTGATTTTTATTTATCTGAAGAGACCCAAGCGATCACAACTTGGATAAGGATAATGAGCATAGAGAGGAGGAAAGAGGAGATAAAGGAGGATAATTTATATACTAATCAACAAAATAGTTAAGTTTTTGGTTTGAGAAAAAATTACAGATGTTTCTTAATTTTTGCAGTAGGTATGTCCTGCAGTAAATTTCTGGTATTCACAAACATTCATACTTAACCTTGAAATTACCTGCTCACTTCTCAGTACCTTGCGAAGCTCCCATTAATTTAAAGATGACCGACGTGAGGCCAAATTCGTGAGGAGTATCACAAAGGAGTAATTAAGTGACAAATTTGTTAATGAAAATTTAATTCCGGTCACATCGAGTTTTTATCCTCAGACTGTGCTTTGGAAAAAGTTGAAGACTAAAACTGATTTTTCGCCTAGACATTCAATTGCGAAGTTCATTTCTGTATTCAGCAATTAGCTTCGATCTAATTTTTGAACGGATTCTGATGAAGTCACAAATGTTCATATTCCAAAATTTTATCGTCCCGGGTACCCTCAGATCCGTCAGATTTCAAAATAATCCCTAAATCGTAGCAATAAAAATGTAATTTTTTTCGGTGGGACTTACTATCTAACATTTTTGTAACGGCTGGCGCTATGTTCACTTCTGCGAGAGTCTCGTAGGATGCTGCATGGATCAGTCTCATGTTGGCAGAATTATGTAGCGAAAGCCAAACGCCAAGACCCGCAACTACGAAACAAGTCACCGCTCGATTCGTGTCTCCACTCACGCTGAATTTGTGCTGAAAATTTCACAAACATATTCAATTCTACTGTTGTTCTACAATAACATAGTAAAACACACATACATACATTCGAGTCGCTTTACAGCGGGGTTATCATGGGTTGAAAAACGCTAACCCTGCGAGTTTGAATATTAGAGCCAAACGCAACAGATTAGCTGGAGCAAAACGCGTATTAGCGCCTACAAGACTGCAGAAATACTTCACGCATTGCGTGTACTCTACGTTGCGGACGGCGCGCAATGCGTGAAGTATTCCTGCCTGTGCGTGCAATGTGTGAAGTATCCATGCACTCTTGTAGGCTCTAATACGCGTATTGCGGTGACAGCACTAATGAGTTTCGATGTAATACTCAGAGTGTAGTCATCGTTTTTCAACTCATGATTTTGAAATGTTTATTAAATCATTGAGGTTGCATTACTCAAAAATTCAACGGTAGAGTAGATATGTAAAATTTTTAAAATGTATAAACCGTGTAAAAATGTCATCTTTTTGAGTTCCCATTACTTTTATCATAAGAAATTCACTCGTACAAATTGACCGCGTATAGTAGAAATGAATCAAGCCACATCAGCTACTGCCAAATTGAATTGGGCGATTTAATTTTTTATATAATGTGTATATAGTGACCCATTGTACATGCCCCTCCAAGTAGCCCCATTCTCGGGAGTAAACCCCATATTCATAGCCCTAGATCTAAGTCCTTAGTCTTAATTCTAGATTTAAATATAATATAAATATTAAATTCTTGTGTAAGGAGGAGAATTGATGAAACATTTTAAAAAATAAAAAAAATTATAACTTTGTGCAAATGTCAGTGAATTTCCTGCATAGTGTGAAGCAGAGTCCTTACAATTTTCGAAGGAATCCGCACAAATGTTCTCTTGTAAAAAATTAAATCGACCAGTTTTTGGCATTAATTGATGAGGCTTTATTCCTTTTGCTAAACGCGGTCCAAATGGTCGTCAATATCGAAGGCGTTATACGCAGTGGCACGGCGCGCTTTTTGCGATACATCGACATCGATCTGCAATTTGAACCTATGGAAAAGGACCGATTAATAGGGCGTCCACAGAGAAGTAGAGAACACCTTAATAATCGATTCTGTGCCTTATCTTAAAATGAAGAATTATCAATAATCGATCATTCACGCCTCTCCAATGGCGTTAGCTGTTAAAATAAAACATGATAAGGAAGGCAGTGTGAAATGTAGTTAAGTTGATAATGGTTAAATCCGTCGAAATAATTTACCCGTCATTTTCCTTTAAGTAAAGTAAAAAGATTCGGGAATCTACCAACAACACGACCGTGAGAGAGGCGATTTGAGGAATAAGATAAGAAAGAGAAAAGAAAATTGCCTCGATTAAGGCACTAAAACTAATCTGATCACCCTTTCTGAGCAAACAACGAATAATTACGGATGTATTTAAAGTTTCAGCTGCAGTTTAAAAACACTTACTGAGTTCCTATATTCTACTTGGATCAGAGCCGGACGCTTTTTTACCATTTAGAGAATTCTTGTTGAAACCGTTTTTCGATTATTATCTCTGATGAGACACTTACTCTAGACATTTAAGGCGCTGAGTGTACCGATGACAAACTACCGATTGCATTAAGAGAGAAGTGGACAAGTATCAATGAATAGTATCCCTTTTCTAATCTTTGCATAAGAATAATAAAATTACAAAGCACAATATCCGATGCGGTTTAGGAAATCCGACGACGAAAAAATACGAAAACACGCTTGGAGTTGTGGGCTCAGCATTTAATTCCCAATAAGATGCAAACGGATACTGGAATTAAAATCGATAAAATTTCATTAAAAATCTCTTTTTGCTGTTTTCTGGTGTTTCATCATATTTCATAGAATAGGCCAAAAGACAAGGTCTCAATTTGAAATAAAAGCCCCTAATTTACTTTCCAAAATTTTACGGATTCCCTTTTATATCAAGAAAAACGTATACTTACCACTATTTTTAAAGACGAGGGATCTACTATATGGATGTTTGAGTGAGAACTGCACCACAGTTTGTCCAAAACCGGGCACATTCTGGTAACAGGCGCCACGGCAGACCCGATCGACAAGATACTCTGTGGCTCGGAGGTGTTCCATGCATTATCTAGAACAACAAATAAATACAAAGTCAGGCATTAGCAAATACAATACAAAGTAAAATTTTTTATAACTTTATAAATACTAAGTGCAATGTGGCAAATGTTCATTAATGAATTTAATAAATTAAACATTAATGAAGCATCCCTATGGTAGCCATAAATTTAAAAAAAATTTACAACGTTAAAAAAAATTGTTGCCATCGATGCGGAAATCAACTGTCGGTATACATACCATGAGAGGGGATAAATATATTTTGCATAACAAATTGTACAATATTCTCAGATCTTTGTACACCCCAAGATTTCATGTTATATTTTGCGTCCCTTCCAACCTATGTGTATCTTTCATTCCCTCGCATTTCACAACTTAAATGTAAAAATCCATTCTCTGGTGCCTATAGTCGCTCCAAAGTCATTAAAGCGGACAAATCTACACTGCATTTAAAATTGTACACACACATATCTCCCAACAGCACTTGATTACTAAAGAGGAGCAGTTAATACTCTCGAAACTAATGAGTAGGCAGAAACTCTTATTTAAAGACTTAAAGATTGAAAAAAGTAAATTTCTCTCCAGTTCTTCTTTCTTTTGCTGATATCCCAAAAAATTAATTTTCCTCCGTTCTTGCAGAGTCAAAATTTTTGTACACTTTTCTGTTACCCCAAAATTTTAAGTTAAAACTTACTTTCGGTCACTTGGCCTATGAATACGTCGGAGTGAAAGAAATCTGATGCATTACTACTAAAATTCAGTAAAAATGCAATACAAAACTGTGATATTTTTTTTCTCTTTTATTACTGGTATTTGAATTTCAGACTTTTTTCTTATTAAATGTTTATTTCTTCATTATAGTAGGTACCGTATGTGATCGCTAAAGTTACTGGGAGCACTATGATTTAATAAAAATATCTTTATCCAGGAATTTCGATAATCTTTTAATTCCATTTTTGGCTTAGTTTTAAATTTAGAATGTCTATGGTGCTTTCAAAGAATTTATGAAGGATATTGAATTTTATCCGGTACATTTTTTAAAAAAGTAAAGAAAGAACCCTCCCTTATTACTCACTTTGATCACGAGAGTACACGCAAACATTTCCATTTGCTAACGATACAAAAACTTTGTCATGGAAGTACCTGAAAAAAAAAAGAAACTCATTTTCATATGAGGAAAAAATCATTGTTTTGAAAATTGTTTGTGATTTACATAATGAGAAATACAGCCAACAACACTTCTCTCTAATTTAATTTGTCGTAAGCTTGTCAAAAAGCTACGACTGAAGTTCATTTACGACAACCAACGTTTATAAGAGACACAGATCCAAACGAGGTACCCTTAAACTCAGCAATTTAATGAATAATTCAAGCTCTGACTTTGGAGTGTATCTGCGAACATGGTATAAATTAAACCGCCGCGTTACATATCGCTGATTTAGGAGAGCATGTACCTCAATTACTTAAAATTCCCCATAAATTCTGCTCGTATTTTAATTTTCACGTTAGCCAAGTCCATAGCTTACTTGTTGTCTATAGCTACTATGTTTATTTTTTGAACTACTCGATATCAATACAATCTCAATCGTTTGATGTATCGAATACGATCTATCTGGTTCCGTTTTTTACAATAATTGATCGAACAGGAGCCGGATATCGGAGGATCAGTAGGACTCTGCTCAGAGGTAATCGATACCGGTCAATTTACAAACGTTAGTGCGCCTTCAATCTCGTCTGATACTGTGCAATACTTCAAAGGTGGAATAGTTGCTCGGAGCACCTTCAAGAGTATCACTTCGACTTGGTGGGAGAAGATCACGATTGCCGCTGATATTCCACTCTAGCGCGTGCACATGTATACATATTCTCATATTTTACGGTAATGTAAAAAACATGTACACCTCAATTTGCGACGTTGCAATTATTCCGATGCCTATTTTATGCGAATAAACCAATATTTAAAAACTTTCAAATCTGCCGTGATTTTTCTCAGATATTGTGAAAACTATTATTTTATTGTTTCGTTCAAGTTTATTTTTATGCTGCTACCGTAATAGGGAAAAGAGCCGTAAGTTTTTAAAAATGGGGCTCAGCAGCATGTGGGCAGAAAATTATTTTAAAAGTAGCCCCCGGGCTTTGTCAAATTGCCACCATCCATCTGAATGATTCTTACGAATCGTTTGCATGATTGAAAATCGACGAATTCATTTTCAACCAGTTGATAAGGGCTTTTCTGATTTTCATGTATGTCTAGTATAAGGTAAGACAGCCGTCCTATCTTCTGTACACTTTCGTAGTAGTATGTTAGAAAAAGACGCCATTTCACTTAAAAACACGGCTCTCATTGTCTCCCTGACGGATTATAGCTCTCGCGGATGTTTTGCCTGAAACACCGTCAATTTTAGTGCACTTAAGGCTTTCGTATAGATATCATTTTTGTACAAAAAGACGAAGTTTGCTGTATCAGCTCAGCTGTATCAATGATTTTAACTCAAATAAACTCAATTAAATCAGAAGAATTTTGATGGAAACTCGATTTGAAATACTTGAGAGGTACGCCTCTCTTCGCCCTAACGGCAGATACGTATTTATTTTATCAATATGCGTTAATCGAAAAATAGAGGCACCTGTTTTGACGGACAACACTCAATAGTTGTATCGATGTCCCAGTTTTTTGATCGCAGAAACATTGATTTCTTATCCTGACATTGTGGGG